AGGCAAACAAATAAAAAGATAATTTTAGTTATTGAATATAGTTATTGTTAAAATATAAATACTTTTCGTTTATTAAGTTTTAATATTCTCTAAATGAGGCCCCATATTATTTTATATCTCTTGGATGGAGTCGTAAGACAAAAACAAACTAATTTTAGTTATGTTAAAATATAAATACCAAAAGTGAAATAAATATTAATCAAATATCGTAATTATACTCTCTGTATTGGTCCATTCCAGCTGAGATAGCGTAAAAAGCTTGGAATCCACCAACAATTCAAAAGACGATGAAATATATTTCTTGCAGATAGTGATTTGTTAATCCGAAAGGAAAGCAGATGTATTACATTATATAGGATAGGCGCAATATGAATAAACCTCGTAATTCAAAAGTGTCGCGAATTTCATATTTCTCAAGAAAGCCATTATTTATTCATTGGCTTCTATTTTATCCTTCAAAGAATCACCCTAGATATAATGCACTTATGCCAGCCTTTTTCCAATCCTCAATGCACTTAAAAAGTAATTTTGTGATCTTTGTTCAGATCATCCTTCGATGCAGTTTTTCTCCCCATCGTAGCGTAGCATCGTCCTTTCATTGGTCTCTTTTGTTTTGGGAACAAAATGTCACAGGGGCCAGGTCTGGGAATACGGTGGTGCGGCACCATTATGTGGTTTTTGGGCAAATGAGGATTGTCCAAAAGGAATCGCGAATTTAAATTTTCGCCAGCTAAGTGTATCGATCTTCACTGATATCTATTACCCAATAGCGTGCGTTTATATCTAGGGTGATTACTTTGAAGGGACAAAATATATATTCATAATTCTTAAAAATAAAAATCTTGATTTTTGAACAAACCTTGTATCGGTAAGCGAATTCATACATACTGCCAGTGATCGTAATAAAATACCAATGTAATTGATTTCGCTGTAATCAAAAATATAAAAGATCACTTATAACTGCTGATACATGTACTGACTTATGCTCTGATCATTCTGTGTGCTAATAAATTATGCGAACAACCCTTTGTATCACCAAAATTAGTTAAAATATATAAAATATATCACTAGCCACATTAATATTGATTCGAATAAACACGAATGAGATATTGGGTAAAGCGTTCCGGAATTTAATATATAAAACATATAATAATGCTGTCTTAGCAACTCCAAACATAACAAACCGCCCGGTCTTAGAAGAATCACAAATGTTGAAATAGAAATGCTTGTAACTGAAAAAAGGCAAGCTAGACGTGAATGGGAGTAAATCGCGTAACTAAGAAAAAGTGTGCGGAAGAATACAACACTGAAATTTATGTAAAGAATTGAGCGCAAATGCAACAAAAACACATTAAGACGCGGAGGTAAGAGAGAGGTATCGAAGCTAAGACGAAAAATCAATTTTTGCTTACCACCGAGAAAGTATTTCAGCCAGACACATGTAGATACCAGAGAACTTAAAACAATGAGAAGGTGCAGGTTCGACAGCGAACATTGTAGGAATTTATCAAGGAGTTCACCACAGATGCACGAGAAACAAATAACATTTTTCGCTTTTATACAGCGGTGAATCTGTACAATACGCTCTCTAACATAACCAACGACGAATATTGAAGAGAATATAATATGTGAGCAAACGCATATTGATATGCCATTTGAAATATATTCCCTTTTATTGAACTATTATTATTTATTATTTTAAATTATTTTAAGACATTTTTACTTTATTATGAGAAATCATACTTTTAAATTATTAATATTAAAGTATTTTGATATATTTCTTAAATAATTCATTAATTGTACTTGACACCATTATGGAGTCATAAAAGTACAGAATTGTGTTTGCCGTCGTATTCACATTCATCTCATTTTCTTTTCAAATGATGTGTAACATATGTACACAACATACAATATAATATTAGCGTTTACACATTTGTATGTATTTTTATGAGATATGTACACTCATTACTTCATGTGAAATCTCCGTGACACATTTTTTGCTTTTATGTCAAAGAGGCATCTTGTCGAAAACTGACGCGACGACAAAGCGTCACAACATTGTTTTGTTGGTAGAAAATCGAGATGCCATACACACTCTTACAAACATACATCGCATATGGGCAAGTGCCAAGTCAATGTGTACAAAAATTCGAACGTACTTATCTGTGTGACAAATACAGTCAATCCCGGTTAAGTGCCAAACAAAGATGAAGATTTTTTGCGCTTTGTAGTACATAAGCGATTGTGGTACTTAAGCGAGAGGTACCAAAAAAATTATTTCTATGTATTTAAAAAAATTACCGTTTTCTTAAAAATTAAGAAAAAAGTGAGATGCAGTAAGACACCGAGATAAGAGGGATTGGAGGAGTGATACTTAACCGGGGTTTACTGTATACATAAATCAGAGGAATATTGAATATTTTCTTTAAAAGTTTCTTGAATTGTAAATCGACAAATTTACTATGTTGTCACTTTTATTCTAAAATATTTAATACTCATATTTGAGGGTTGTCACTTTTCCCTTCTAGAGGGAATATCAGAAATTTGTTCAATTTATGATTTTTATCTTTTGCCATCGTCGCGAAAGACGCTTGTAGGCAAACGCATGCTCGGGGAGATGTAAGGCGTTTGCTTTTGAATGAAACGACTTAGCTTATTGCTTGTGCGCCAGTTCATGAATGAAAAGTTGTGTGTGATTTACTACAAATTTAGGATTTGTCAATTTGGCCCATATTGATTTGTCGCGATGCTATTTGAGACAATTTGTTGTTTGTAGCAACAATGTTTGTATTTTCCTATTGGCGACGTACTTACATTTGTACGCTTAAATGTATGTAGATTTGTGTATGCATTACTTATTTTGCGCGGTCATATGCATATTTGACATACATACTTAATATAGAGCAGTGCGCTACATTATTTATTGATAATTGATATATTATTACAAGATATTATATAATATAACATATTGATGTACATACATAAATTATTAATTCTGTAAAAATTGAAATTAGAAAATTATGAAAATAGTAAAATATCATTTTTGCATAATCTTTCACATTTTATCAATGTAGTATTTGTGCAAAAATAATAATTTATAAATTTTTCATCATAAAAATCGTTTATATGGCAAAAATAATCATGCATATGTGAAGTGGCATTTGTATTTCTTGTTTTCTCATTCATTTCATTTCATTTTCTCTTTATATTGGTAGATACGTTTTGTCAGAGAACTTTGTTTACTCATTTCTGTTAATAACAGCAGACTATACAGAAAGTGGTGAATCCTTGATCTCAAATTTTCAGCCAACCAATCGAGCATCATACAAAATTCATTGTATCTTCATTGTTTAAGTTCTCTGCTTGTAGTCACTCGTCGGTCCTTATACCTTTGGTCAGAGAACTTAAACAATAGAAGGTAGCGACAGCGAACAATTTGTAGGAATTTATCAAGGAGTTCACCACAGATGCACGAGAAACAAATAACATTTTTCGCTTTTATAACAGCGGTGAATCTGTACACTACGCTCTCTTAACATAACCAACGACGAATATTGAAGAGAATATAATATGAGAAAACTGGGCATATTGATATGCCATTTGAAATATATTCCCTTTATTGAACATTATTTATTATTTTTAAATTATTTTATGTTAATTCATTTTACTTTATTAGATAATATCAAATTTTTAAATTATTACTATTAAAGTATTTTGATATATTTCTTAAAATAATTCATTAATTGTACTTGACACCATTATGGAGTCATAAAGTACAGAATTGTGTGTTTTGCCGTCGGTATTTCACATATGCTTCAATTTTCTTTATGCGTAACATATGTAACAGGACATACATAATAATATTATGTCGTTTAACATTTGTATGTATTTTATGTAGATATGTACACCTATTACTTCATGTGAAATCTCCGTTACACATTTTTGCTTTTATGTCAAAGAGGCAATCTGTCGAAGAACTGACGCGACGACAAAGCGTCACAACATTGTTTTGTTGGTAGAAAATCCGAGATGTGCCATACACACTTACAAACATACATCGCATATGAAGTGCCAAGTCAATGTGTGTACAAAAATTCGAACGTACTTACTGTGTGACAAATACAGTCAATCCCGGTTAAGTGCCAAACCAAAGATGAAGATTTTTGCGCTTTGTAGAGCAATACGTAACTGAACGAAGTACACGATAGCGACTGCATTCTGAGGCCCAAAATAATGTGGATGCAGCAGAACTGCATGTTCAAGTGATGATCATCTATAAATAAAGTTCTTAAATTTATTTATTTATGCCTTATTCAATAGTTATTTATGAATGATTCCCATATCAAATTGTTGGTCGACTGTCTATCAGTAATAATGAAAGCTTTATTTATGAAAAACAAAACATCAATTAGAATGCTTACCTTTATGGATGTTTCGAAGTCGTGTTTTATCTATGGAGACATTTAAGGAAATAATTTTTCATTGAAATAATTATTAAAAAAGAGCAGGTAAGCTCGCCATATTTTCCACAAAACTACTTCTCTTCTTCTTATAAAATTGGATATTCTTTCCGCTTTTAACATGTTAATATTTCTTAAATATCGATAGTTTTTACTCTTTCTAACTTTAGGATAGCCCATTTAATTAAAATTAGCATTACACGTGTTGAGAAACAGCGGAAAAAGTTTGATTTCATCTGTGATTATCTTTGGTGCAAATCCTCTCAACTTGACATTTAACTAGATTGCGAAGGTTTTGACGTTTTGCAATTGAAACGACTGGAACGGCTAGATTGAAATTCTACCAAATATATATGTGAACATAGAGATTTGTTGCCGCCGTTCACGATCACTAATAAAAAATGTAATACAGTGAAAATGAAAGAAAACCACAAATTTGTTGTAAATTATAAATTATAGTATGCTTTTTCAATGACTACAATGCAAAATGTTAATAAAAAACTAATTTTCAAGCGCTCTTACACTGAAATAAGTTGGACATTATTTTATCCCTGGTTTTAATACCAGTATAGCTGACAACTATCACGCTGCCTAAAGTTTTGAACTACAAGTAAATTCTCTTATGAATCCAGTTTCTCCGGCACCATTAATATTACCATTAGCAAAGGCTTTGAATTCTATTAATTTTGAAAATATATGTTTTAATTTAAATAACAATACAAATATTGAAACGTCGGATGAAGATTTTGTTAAGGCAGCGTCAGAATGGGTACATTAATTCCGTAGCGGAAAAGTACGCAACTGACCACTGAGTTGAATGTGTGGATTTATATGGAAAGCGGCAGATTGACAATACGTACTCTACCGGAGAAGCATCCTGTAGACCAGCTCTCAACTTTTGCGAACGGCAACGTTTTCAATTGACATTTGACAATGGCAGTTGTAAAGAGCAGCTGTTTTATGTTTACTTACGCAACGCATTCGTTATCGCATACCTCTACGTTACGTACCCCACTTCATTCGCATAATCATGCGTCATTGACATACAAGCAGAGAATTTAGACGAACGAGAAGGTGCAAATTGAATTTTGTATGATGCTCGATTGGACGGCTAACAGTGCTGACAAATTCCGAGCAGGGAGTTCATTATTTTCTGTAATATTCGCTGTCTACCAACATAAAGAGAAAAATTAAATACTTTAAACAAAAAATACAAATGCCACTTCACATACACATGCGTGATAATTTTTTGTCATATATCCGATTTTTATGATGAAAAATTGATAAAATATGATTTTTTGCACAAATGCGAAATATATTTAACTTTTTTATAATTTTTTAATTTCATACATCAATATGGGGTTCAATTGCATTCTCTGGTATGTACACATGGAGGAATAGAATTTTCACGTATCAATAAATACATGAGTATGCGCGCACTGCTCTATATGTAAGTATGTATGTACAAATGTGCCTTGTAAAATAAGTAATGCATACACAAATCTACATATGTACATATAAGCGTACAAATGTAAGCATGGCAGCCAATAGAAAAAATACAAACGTTGTTATACAAAAACAACTATTCTCTAAAATAGCATGAGCAGCGTCAGAAATCAATATGGCAGCCAAATTGACAAATCCTAAATTTATAGTAAATCACACAACAACAAAATTTTCATTCTTGAACGCTGGCGCACAAGCAATAAGCTAAGTCGTTTCATTTATAAAAGCAAACGCCTTACACATCTCCCCAAGCATGCAAGCCTATAAGCGTCTTTTCGCGATGATGGCAAAAGCTAGAAATCTTAAATTGAACAACTTTCTGAAGTTCTCTTTAGAAGGTAAAAGTGACAACCCTGCAAGCCCACAAAACACAGAAAAAAGTGACAAAAGTGGCTACAAAGCTTTTGTCGATTTAAAATATTTTACAATTCTACAATTCTAAAATATTTTTCCGTGGCTGCCAAAAATCTGCGTCAATATGTATGCAATAATTTGTTGCCAAAGCTGTTAGAGCGGCAAGGGAAGCGATGGCAATAGGCGAGTGTTCGTTTATTTTTTCGGAACATCTAGGATTTTCTACCAACAACACAATGATGTGACGCTTCTTCTCTTGTCTCTCTTTGTCAGGAAAGCAAAAAACCTGAGCTTCGATCATTGGTTGACCAGAGAACTTAAAACAATGAGAAGGTGCAGGTTCGACAGCGAACAATTTGTAGGAATTTATCAAGGAGTTCACCACAGATGCAGGAGAAACAAATAACATTTTTCGCTTTTATAACAGCGGTGAATCTGTACACATACGCTCTCTTAACATAACCAACCGACGAATATTGAAGATAATATAATATGTGAGCAAAACTGGGAATATTGATATGCCATTTGAAATATATTACCTTTTATTGAACTATTATTTATTATTTTTAAATTATTTTTATGTTAATCATTTTACTTATTATGAGAAATATATCAAAATACTTTTAAATTATTACTAATAAAGTATTTTGATATATTTCTTTAAAATAATTCATTAATTGTACTTGACACCATTATGGAGTCATAAAAGTACAGAATGTTGTTTATATAAATATGATTCTTTCTATATTAATTTTAATAAAATTTTAAAAATATATTGTTGCTCAAAAGTCTATTTTATTCAATACTAATTTCAGTTGATTTTCCTATAGAAATTTGACTGGCGTAGAAGCAAATGTGCAACAGGACATACATACATATATTATGTCGTTTACACATTTGTATGTATTTTTATGTAGATATGTACACTCATTACTTCATGTGAAATCTCCGTTGACACATTTTTGCTTTTATGTCAAAGAGTCAATCTGTCGAAGAACTGACGCGACGACAAAGCGTCACCAGAGAACTTAAACAAAAACAAGAATTGTAGAATTGTAAAAATTGTAAATCGACAAAAGCTTTGTAGCCACTTTCTGTCACTTTTTCTGTGTTTTGTGGGCTTGCAGGGTTGTCACTTTTACCTTCTAAAGAGAACTTCAGAAAGTTGTTCAATTTAAGATTCTAGCTTTTGCCATCATCGCGAAAAGACGCTTGTAGGCAAACGCATGCTCGGGAGAGTGTAAGGCGTTTGCTTTTATGAATGAAACGACTAGCTTATTGCTTGTGCGCCAGCGTTCATGAATGAAAATTTGTTGGTGTGTGATTTACTACAAATTTAGGATTTGTCAATTTGGCTGCCATATTGATTTCTGGAGCTGATGCTATTTGAGACAATTGTTTTTTTGTACAACAATGTTTGTATTTTCCTATTGGCTGACGTACTTACATTTGTACGCTTAAATGTATGTAGATTTGTGTATGCATTACTTATTTGCGCGGTCATATGCATATTTGTACATACATACTTACATATAAAGCAGTGCGCACATGTATTTATTGATAATTATAATATATTATTATATTATATAATATAACATATTGATGTACATACATAAATTATTAATTCTGTAAAATTGAAATAGAAAATTATGAAAATAGAAAATATCATTTGCATAATCTTTCACATTTTATCAATGTAGTATTGTGCAAAAAATAATAATTATAAATTTTCATCATAAAAATCGTTTATATGCCAAAAAATAATCATGCATATGTGAAGTGGCATTTGTATTTCTTGTTTTCTCATTCATTTCATTTCATTTTTCTCTTTATATTGGTAGATACGTATTTTGTCAGAGAACTTTGTTAAAAATTCTCATTTCTGTTAAATAACAGCAAAACTATACAGAAAGTGGTGAACTCCTTGATCTCAAATTTTCAGCCAACCAATCGAGCATCATACAAAATTCAATTTGCACCTTCTCATTGTTTTAAGTTCTCTGGCGTCACAACATTGTGTTGTTGGTAGAAAATCCGAGATGTGCCATACACACTCTTACAAACATACATCGCATATGGGCAAGTGCAAAGTCAATGTGTGTACAAAAAAATCGAACGTACTTACAGAAATTCTTTGACAAATACAGTCAATCCCGGATAAGTGCCAAAACCAAAGATACTTAACCGGGGTTTACTGTATACATAAATCAGAGGAATATTGAATATTTTCTTTAAAAAGTTTCTTGAATTGTAAATCCACAAATTTACTATGTTGTCACTTTTATTCTAAAATATTTTAATACTCATATTTGAGGGGTTGTCACTTTTCCCTTCTAGAGGGAATATCAGAAATTTGTTCAATTTATGATTTTTAGCTTTTGCCATCGTCGCGAAAAGACGCTTGTAGGCAAACGCATGCTCGGGGAGATGTGTAAGGCGTTTGCTTTTATGAATGAAACGACTTAGCTTATTGCTTGTGCGCCAGCGTTCATGAATGAAAATGTTGTTGGTGTGTGATTTACTACAAATTTAGGATTTGTCAATTTGGCTGCCATATTGATTTCTGGAGCTGATGCTATTTGAGACAATTGTTGTTTTTGTACAACAATGTTTGTATTTTTCCTTTGGCTGAACTACTACATTTGTACGCTTAAATGTATGTAGATTTGTGTATGCATTACTTATTTTGCGCGGTCATATGCATATTTGTACATACATACTTACATATAAAGCAGTGCGCTCACATGTATTTATTGATAATTGATAATATATTATTATATTATATAATATAACATATTGATGTACATACATAAATTATTAATTTGTAAAATTTAAATTAGAAAATTATGAAAATAGTAAAATATCATTTTTGTATAATCTTTCGCATTTTATCATGCCTCATTTGTGCAAAAAAAATCATATTTTATCAATTTTTTATCATAAAAATCGTTTATATGGCAAAAAAAAATTCATGCATATGTGAAGAGGCATTTGTATTTCTTGTTTTCTCATTCATTTCATTTCATTTTTCTCTTTATATTAGTAGATACGTATTTTGTCAGAGAACGTTGTTAAAAATTCTCATTTCTGTTAAATAACAGCAAAACTATACAGAAAGTGGTGAACTCCTTGATCTCAAATTTTCAGCCAACCAAGCGAGCATCATACAAAATTCAATTTGCACCTTCTCATTGTTTTAAGTTCTCTGGTTCTACTAAGTTCTCCGGTGTTGTCCCTTGTGGTGATGTATGAGTGGGGTGGGTTATTAGGTTGCGCCAGTTTTTACCAAGTAGCGTGGTGTGGGTGTAGGGGAGGTTTATCTCATTTGAACATCCTTTTCGTGCTTATTGTATTTGCGTCTGTTTCTTTTATAATTTTATTATTTGTATTCTTTACTATCAGCTTATTACCCTTAACTTTATTTTTGAATTGTTTTATAATTATGAAAACTTAGGCAACTATGAAGATTTGTCGATTTTTCGACTTTCTTCAGACAATTTTGTTACATGTTATGTTGAGTGCGTATGCACTAATTTAGCAAGTAGTAGCGCGCCACATATCTCACGATTTTTGAAGCAGGATTTTTGTATCATTATTGGCAAGAGCGGAGTCGAAATTTACATATTTATGTCGAAAATTACATATTTATGTCTTTAAAACTGATCTTGTCGGAAAGGACTCTGACTTTGTTTTTTTGCGAATTCATGGAGTGTTGGATAATTGTGAATTTAGTCGTAGTCGTACGACGTACCGACCATTATCTGATCTAGTAGTTATGGCTTTGTACAAGTTTTCACAATACTGATATTCTGGGGTTGTAATTAATACGAGGGAGCGTTTTTCTAACTCCCGAAATTTTCCCAAATGTGAATAGGGGTATTCGTTTGAGATTTCCTCAACTTATGTGGTCATGGTGGTAACTGGTTTCGTACCTAGTCCACTTAGGATCCAACCAAAAATAGTATTTTGTGCCAGAAGTGTGTTTGAAATTTTCTCAATACCTTCGAGTATTATCTGCGGTATGAGATCGCTGCCTAATAGAAGATCTTTTTGAGCGGGGGTGTTGCAGTTGGGATGTGCTAGCTTTAGGTGTGAAACCTTTTGCCAATGCTTAATATGTATGTGATAGCTTGGAAGTATGTTAGTAAGTTGCGGTAGGATTATTGCATCTGCTACTATTCGTTTATC